TAGCTCTGCACAGACTAATAGCCAACAGGATAAAGAAAATACAAAGACACAATAGCCCCCAAGGCAAACACATGACGAGGCCCTTAAGCAAGGGCATAAACGGAAAGAAATACAATAGACTCATAAAACATAAAACAAAATACATCAAATACAATAATAATCAAAAGTAGATCGTGACCGTAGATCATTGATCTTCTGATGTCCTCATCAAGGAGATTGTAAAAAAGTTAAATTTATAAAACTATAATTTGGCTATGTTAAATGGGTTTGATTGCTGACCAATAAAAAAGTCAAAGGTCGGGCATGGTTTTTATGATAATGCTATGATGGATTTGTAATAAAATGATAAAAGATATATTTTGAAGTAATTATAATAGAGGGATGAGAGGAGCAGCATATATTTTTTAGAAGTAGCGGGATATTAATAAAGGTTTTTGGGCATGTACAATTAAGGGTTGAAGATGTATTGATAAGATTTATAAATAAATTTTAATGTTGGAGAATTAGGAATAAAATGGGGTAGACTGAAAGTAATTTGCATAGAAGCCATGTAAAAATATTTACAAAGTAGGGTTAACATCTCTCGCAGCACTCAATTTAGGTGAATGGAGAATGAGGATTTATAAAATTACCCAAGCATTGTTGTGTGATAAAGCTAATGATGATGATTGCTTTTTTATTTTTTCTTAACTTCATAAATGTTGTTATATGCTGATCTTGGTCAATTTGGTGAAAGTGAATTTTATGTCATTGGAGAGTTGTGAAATTCATGAAATCTTTCTTTTAATACCTTAAAATGTGATTTACTTTTGCTAATATCGGTACTATAGTTTGATATTTTCTATTTTTTAAATGATAAGTTGTCATTTTATTTCACATTTTAGTTGATATAATTTCAGTTGTGCAGATAAATAGCAAGGTACTTGCGAATGACATTGGATTCAAGATGGAAGTATCAATTGATGAAGCTTTGGAAATTCTTCAGTTCTGGAGAATGTCGATGTCACCCTTTGTTGCAAGGTAATTTTCATCTTTTGGAGCAGTTTATTCTTAGATGTAGCGTGAGAAAAGATATCTTTAAATTGTTTTTTATTTCTAAGCCTCACAACGCAAACTTTGTTTAGTTCTTCTTTCTCAAAGTCCTGGAACATTTTGACTCTTACCAACCCTTATTGAAAAGGCAATTTAAGGACACAAGCTTCTTAAGCACTAAATTTAATGACTACCGTTGCTCAAATGTTAATTAAACTATGTGGACTGTGCAGATGCGGCTTGGCATATTTTTCTTATATATGGACTGAATTTTTACTTTGATCTTCATTGTTCTCTTATTATTATTATTGCTACTTCTTTCCTACATGTTTTTCCTGTTTATTTTTCAAGGAAATGATACTATAAATTTGTAAGTGATTAGGCACTGAAGGTATCTTGATTATATATATATTTAGGGTTTAGGGTTATATATATAAAATTTTGCACACTGATGGTGTGTCTTCTGATTGCAGCATTGCTCAAATGTTAAAGTTTTACACTCTTATTTCAAGTGGGATTGCCACATCATCATCAAAGATTATTAATGAGCTCATATCAAGTCGTTTCATTTTCGTTCCATTTATGAGCTGTTGTGAAAGCAATGCCTCCGCAGCTGGAATGTTTTTATCACCCAAGGAAGTTTATTGGCAGGACCCAACTGGCTGTGTAGACAGGATGAAGAAAGTAATGCTTTTGTGCCCCTCGACGCACAAGGGAAATCATATGCTATGCAAGTCTTTGGGAACTGTTTACCCAACCCTTCATGATTTCTTTGTAAATGTATGCGGAGTGTCTGACACTCCTTCATTTTCTAGCTATTTTCAGATCCTGCAGCAATTATCGTCTATCGCATTGCCATCACAAGTAGCGCATAAAGTAAGTTCTCAATGTACAATCTTGCTTTAAAGAACTTTAAAACAAATTAACCAAAACTATTGAAGCTCTGGTCAGATACTCATGGATAGAGCTTGTAGTTGATAATCTTTGAGAACCTCATGTTTCATGGGCTTCAGTTCATATAGTTTTTTGCTTGCATACCCTTGCTTTTTTTTTTTAAGCAAATCAATTGAAGAAATTAGAACAAGAAGAAGCAATCATAAAGAATTGCAGATTTAAAAAAGAAAAAAAAAACAAAAGACATAATTAATGATAACATGAAGACTTGAAGAAATTATCTCTCTGATGGCAAAAGAGAACCCAAAAAAACAATCATTTAATGTGCCGTGCTTATATTATGGTAAATCTTGATAAGTGGTGATGGATTTTTTTTATTTTTTATTTTTGCTTCTCTTAGCATTTGGAATTTTAAAGCTTAAATTCACTAGTGGTTTAAACCTACTATCATTAGAATGATAATGCTACTCAGAATCTACCAAGATCCTCAACAACAGAATATGATTATGAGTGGCTAAAACATTAGGAGAATCTAGATCAACGACTTTGCAAGTAGATGAGGTGCCTGCTTCCTACGTGGAACTAAGTATAGCATTGAAAGACTTTTTGATTACATGATAATGTCTAAAGTTGGTTTCAAGCTTTGGGATCATGTCAAATAACAAGTAGTAGTGGCCACTATGTTTGAAGAAAGATTCTGATCTTTTGTATGCTGCTCTTGTTCATAAGTGTAATGATCATTAAAAGATGATTTCCTCAACTTTTAGTGAGCCTCGAAATGGAGAGGGTTGTTTTGAAATTTGCTATGTTTTGTATGCTTTAAGTAGATTGTTTACCCTAGGGTTAGGATTATGTTATGTTTTGCTGGATTTAGTTTTTTCAAGGTTGAGAGGGCTCTAGTTGGCGGCTAGGGATTTGGGAGAACAAGATCTTCCTCTCTAATTGAAGATCCGATTGTATTGTCTTTCCTTCATAGCTATTTCAATAAAAAGTGTTCTTGTGCGGCTTCTTCCTATTTTTTTTCTTGTCGCAAATTTATGGTTTTCCTGAAATTAAATTTCAGCCATGGGATTTTACAAATTTTGCATCCACTTCCTATAAAATTAGTATCAGAACATAGATCCGGGCACCTTCGACAGGAAGAAAGGTAAAAGTGTTGGAATGGGAGATCGAATAATTAAAATCTAATTTCGAAGAAAAAATTTCAGATTTCCAAATTCAAATTTCAGCCGTCCATGAGAAGATCGATGAGAAGTTCGACATCATGGAGGAGATGATGAGGAAAATAAAGAGTGCTGTTTTGAAATTTGCTATGTTTTGTATGTTTTAAGTAGATTGTTTACCCTAGGGTTAGGGTTATGTTAATTTTTGGTGAATTTAGTTTTTCCAAGGTTTAGCGGGCTCTAGCCACTAGCTAGGGATTTGGGAGGGCGGGATCTTCCTCTCCAATTGAAGATTTGATTGTATCTTGTCTTTCTTTCATAGCTATGTAAATAAAAGTGTTCTTGTGTCCTCTTTTTTTTTTGCTTGTTGCCAATTTTTGGCTTTGCTGGAATTAAATTTCAGCTAAGGGATTTAGGAAATTCTGCATTCACTTCCTATCAAATTGACATCAGAGCGTAGATTCGGGTTTCTACAACAGGAAGAAAGGTAGAAGTGTTGGAAGGGGAGATCGGACAATTGAAATCTAATTTCGAAGAAAAAATTTCAAATTTTTAAACTCAAATTTTAGCCGTCCATAAGAAGATCGATGAGAAGGTCGCCATCTTGGAGGAGATGCTGAGGAAGATGGAGAGGGCTGCTTTGAAATTTGCTATGTTTTGTATGCTTTAAGTAGATTGTTTACCCTAGGGTTAGGGTTATGTCATGTTTAGTTGAATTTAGTTTTTCCAAGGTTGAGAGGGGTCTAGCCGGCAGCTAGGGATTTGGGAGAGCGGGATCTTTCTCTCCAATTGAAGATCTAATTGTATCTTGTCTTTCTTTCATTGTTATTTCAATAAAAAGTGTTCTTGTGTCTTCTTCCTATTTTCTTTCTTGTTGCCAATTTTTGGTTTTGCTTAAATTAAGTTTCCAAGGAAAAATGGTCACCTTCTAGCCTCCACCCGTGCACTTTTATTCCACCACAATGTACCCAAATCTTATTGGGGTTTCTAATTGCCACATATCTCATAAACCGACTATGTTCAAACACCATGGGACTTAAAACACCAATGGATATTTTATCATCTTTTATTCTGAATTCCAAATCCATAATAACCTTTCACCCATAATCTTTGGGTGTACTCCCTATGTTCACATTCACAACCAAAATAGAGAAAAATTAGATTTAAGAGCACTTAAATGTATCTTTGTTAGATATTCATCCACCCAGAAAGTTTCTAATTATTTTCATCCCTCCAAGAAAACTTTTATATTTGTTGGCATTACCTTTGATCAACAAATACCCTATTTAATTTAAGTAAACCTCATCTTCAATGGAAGACTGAAACTTAGGAGGATGAGGAAAGTGAGATTGCCTCTCTTGACCTTTTAGCTCCACCTCAAACAATCCACCTAAACCTAAAATCAAAGCCAGGGGAAGTGAGGACAAAGTTATTATGGATAATGTGAAGTTTGGGCAAGTGTATTCCAGGCATACAAATCCAAACTGGTATAGAGCTGATCCAAGAATTTGAATCTTTTTCTGAAATTTAGGTAAATACAAAAAAATCTCCATTGTAACCTATAATAAACTTTATATCCTTTCATAACTTCTCACTTTCATACAAATTTTTTTTTGGTTACACTAAATGATATTCATATTCCTAATGATATTTTTGAGGCCTTTTCTTATGAAAATTGAAAAGGTGTAATGAAAGAGAAGAGCAATACATAGGAGATCACCAAGCTACTAGTAACAAAAAATCAATCAGATGCAAATGAGTGTTCTCTATGAAATACAAAGCTGATTGTACATTGAAAAGGTGTAAGGCAAGACTGTTGGCGAAGGGTACGCTTAGACGTACGACGTTGACTACCATGAAACTTTTGCTCTTGTGGCCAATATGAACACCGTGGGGATTCTTCTCTCACTAACAACTTACAATTGGCATCTGAAACAGTTGGATGTCAAAAATGCATTTCTACTCGAGGACTTGGAGGAAATATTTATGGAGATTCCACTATGATTCAAGGAGAAATCTGGGGGTGACAGTATTTATGTTAAAAAAGGTTTTATATAGGTTAAAATAATCACCTAGAACTTGGTTTGAAAGATTCTCAAAAGTTATGCTATATAAATGGTTATCCCCTGAGCTAAGGGGACCTTTCATTATTCTTCAAGCACTCAAACCCACGGGAAGTCACAATTTTATTAGTTTATGTGGATGATATCATCTTGATTGGGAATGATGAAAAGAAGAAATTGGTTATGAGGAAATGTCTTGCCAAGGAATTTGAGATCAAAGATCTTAGTAGAGTAAAATATTTTCATGGAATTGAAGTGACCTACTCCAGCAGAGGAATCTTTATTTCACAACAAACATGCATTAATGATATTCTTAAAGAAACATGTAAGCTATCTTATAGACCAGCACAAACATCAGTAGAATCAAATCTCAAATTGGGAAAATCTAAAGAAGATCTCTATATATATATATATATATATATGGAAGCTTACTCGATGCAAATTGATCTACCTTTTCCACATCAGACTAGATATAACATTTGTTGTAAGCATGGTCAGCCAGTTCATGCAAAATCCAACGCAGACTCACATGCAAGATGCAGATAGAATACTGCACTGCCTTAAGGGGGACCTAGGTAAATGGATTCTCTTCAAAAGATACTGTGAAATGACTCGAAAAGCATATATTGATATAGATTACGCAGTATCACCTGTAGATAGATCATCTTTCTCAGGATACTGCACATTTCTTGGAGCAAACTTTGTTATATGGAGAAGTAAGAAATAAAAAGTGGTGGCAAGGTTTAGTGCAGAAGCAGAATACAAATCTATGATTTTGGAAATATGTGAGCTACTATTTATTAAGATGATTTTAGAATACCTAAGGATCAAGTGGGAAGACCCATGAAGCTACACTGTGATAACAAATCAGCAATCATCATTGCTCACATTCTTGTTCAGCATGATAGGACCAAGCACATACAAGTTGACAGACATTTCATAAAGGAGAAACTAGACAGTGGTCGTATATGTATTTACAATGTCTTATTAAAAGATCAGCTTGCAGATATTCTTATCAAGGGACTTGATAACTATACCTTTTTGGGACTGATTACCAAGCTTGGAATGTCAGATATGAGGGGGAGTGTTAAATCCCAGCCCTTCCTTGGCATTTTGATCCCACTACTAGGATGAAGATCCATGGGAGGCTCACCTGGATTGTGCCGATCTTTGCCATCCCTTGGCATTTTGATCTCATAGCTAGGATGGAGATTTGTTCGACGCTTACCTGGATTGCACCGATGCTTCCATATTTTGGTGGTTAATTTAGGAAGGATTATATTAGAGCATTTATGTATGATTTTGTAATTATTTGTTTTTTTATTAAGATATCTTGTATGGATCTATAAATAGGGACAAATTTGAGCAATAAAATTAAGCTTTTCCCTCTCCAATTCTCTAAATTTAATAATAAATCTATTTTTTTAATTAAAATTAGTATCTTACCTAATTTGACAATGAATCTCAGGACAAACTTCATCATTATGATGACTTTGAATCCTCATTTCTACAATGTGTAATTTCTCAACTTATAAAAGTTTAAACCGAATAAGCTCAACATGTATTTTCACCTTAAAATAACCTCTCATAGAAACATTGAAGTCTATTACTTCAATTAGAAGTTATATTGTGGAAGAAAATACAAAATTATGAATTTTACCCTCAAAATCCTTACTTCCCTTCCTCTCTTCCTCTTCCCTTCGCTTCTTTTCCTTCTTTTCTTCCCTAAATTCCTGCGGCCTGCTCTAGCACACCACCTTTTGTTCACTGAATACGAGATTTGGAATTATTTATTTAAGCT